CCACTTTATGGATGGTAAAGCTAGGGTTCCACATGCTGGACATGTCAGAGAGATTAAAACTAAGGTCTATATGCTCAGGAAGCTGCGAGTATAGAAAAAGAAGCTCATATTCTGTGTATTAAAAATGTTAACCTCTCATATGCAAAATCCCAATTTCTGTCACCAATAACATTTTGTGGTTAGCGCTGGTGGCTATTTCCATACACAGGTAGAGAATGTCAGAGCTGAACCACAGCCTGAGCCATTAACCATCATGTGGTATAACTGTCTCACCAACGGAACACCTAGGCTTCTCTTTGAGATGCATAAGAACTACCTGTGCCAATGTAGTTCTAGACTTCCTCCTGGTGTGTTCAACACACAGATCTACAGACCTTCTGTAGATCCTATGGAACTGCCCACCTTAACTGGTCTTAACACTCACCATATTATTTCTGTTATGTAGTGTGATGGCTGATCCTGATTGTCAACTTGGTAATATCCAGAATCACCTAAGAGATGGCCTCTGGGCATGCTTGTTGGGATTGTTTTAAGGAGGCTAGTAGAGATGGAAATACTGGTCTACTGTGGGTAGAAACATTCCCTGGGCTTAGATCTTTGGCTGTATGAGATGAACATGAAATGAGCATAAGCATTCACCACTCTCTGCCTTTGTAAAACATTTATTTTATTTTGTGTTTATGGGTATGGGTGTGGTTCTGCTTGTGCACCTGTGTATGTATCACACATGTCTGATGCTCAAGGAGGCCAGAAGAGGGCCTAGTGCTACAGATGGTTATAAGCCCCATGTCGGTGCTGGGAATTGTACCTTTCCAATTGTGACCATGGCTCTCTTCTGTCTACAGCTTTGTCTCTGGGAGAGTAAATGATAGGGAGGTGAAAAATCAATTAGGTCATAAGAAATTAAACATAGTGAAATCAGAACAATTACACCAAGGCAAACAGCCTTGCTGCAACAATTAGACAGCTCCAGCAAATAGACTTTGAAACCACAGGAGTTGTTTTGACCCAGAAAAGCAGAGTGTTGCCTTTGCTGTCAGTCATGGTGACATCAAGCCTGGGGAACTGATTTAGTCAATGATGGAACTTCGACATCTTTATTCATGCATAGCTCTCCAGAGAGTTCACTGCAGGTGACATGCTGTCTAGCCTTTTCTTTCCTTCTTTCCTTCCATATACACTAACAGATGGTTTAATGTACAACCCAAACTGATGTAGGCACAAAATAATCTGAAATTTTCATGTTAGGAGCATACATGTGAAGTGTATATGAGAAATTTTCATGTTAGGAGCATACATGTGAAGTGTATGTGAGAAATTTTCATGTTAGAAGCATACATGTGAAGTTGTGTGTTGTGTGTGTTGTGTGTGTGTGTGTGTGAGAGAGAGAGAGAGAGACAGAGACAGAGAGGGAGAGGGAGAGAAGGGGAGAGAAACAGACAGACAGTGAGACTGACAGACAGAGACAGAGATAACAGAGACCATGACACACATGTGTCACATGTAGTGCAGATTGCTATTGGATCTGCATTGCTCACTTATTCCAACATTTACCAGATGTTCACTGTATACCAGACTGGGGACTAAGAGAACAAAAGATAACAATCTGCATTCATTAGATGCTGCCAATTACATTACCCCAAACCTCTAAAGATGACTAGAAGAAAGTGAGAATGATGCTGGAGAAGTAGAGATTCTTTGTCTGGGCAGAGACAACTCTCCAATGAATTTGTTGGAGAGGAGAAATGAAGGCCGTGAAGGAGTTTGGACTAAGCAAGACAGGCTGATCCCAGAATTGCCATGTGTTGTGTGGAATGGTTCTCTGGGGCACAAGGTTGACAGAAGTGGGGTGTGCCCTGAAAATGGTTATTACGGGGGAGCAGAAGACACAAGGTAGGCACAGTAGCGTTCTGGTGTGGCCAATGCCAAGTCCTTCAGAGCACATTAAAAATGAAAAAGCCTGTTTGTAAAAGAACATCTCTAAGGGTGTAAAATGTAGAAAATGAAACCTTCACACATAACTGAGTAGTACAATATATTTTGCTTGAAAAACACAAAAGCGGAACAAAGCATGTTTTCACCTTACTTGTAATGAAGGAAATGCAGTCTAAAAAAAAAAAAGAACAGTTAAATGTGGTGGCTCACTTCTGTACTCCCACCACTTGTGAGGCTGAAGTAGGCGATGCAATGAGTCCTAGGTTGGCCTGGGCTCTGTAATGAGTTGGGGATCATCTGCGTACAGTGGCATTTTCTCAAAGTTCCCCTTGTTATCTTGGAGGCTTCACCCCAGCATCTGGTATCCATGTACCCAAAGTTTCTGGGATGTTATAGTGGAAATTCTATCCAACCTTTTGTGTACACACACACACACACACACACACACACACACACACACACACAAACAGAGGGTATCTAGCCAGTTCAGTTTGTGCTGGAGGATGCCTTGCCTTCAAGACAGAGAAGCCAAGTTTTGGTCTAGAAAGTAACAAAGCTGGTGGCTGACCCTCTGACTTCCTGTCAGGCAGGAAATGCTTCCAAGAAGCTCAAGGACATGGGAGGTCACCAACAGCCAAGAAGCAAAAGTGATTCTTATGGGGTCCCTGGGGTGATGAGAGCTGAAACTATTTCCCAAACAAATTCAGTCTTTGGAAGCACACTAAAAAACTACTAGTTAAGCAGCAGGCAGGCTGGAAGAGCAGTCCTAGTGCAAAAGCAGCCTAATGAATGTGGGGAAGAAATTTCAAAGGCTCAGATTTCCTGGCAAAACTGCCAGGCAAGGGCCACCCAGAGCTGAAGAGCTGTACAGGTCTGCTCCTGCAGACTCCTGCCTGGTAAGAAGAGAGCTGGAGGAGTGGCTTGGTGAAGGAAGGGAAGTCAATCAGTAGTGAAGCCCCACCCAAGTCCAGCCCCTGGAATCTGCACCTGTTACTGAGCTCTGCTGGATTCTCCTAAAAGCTTTTGTGCTTTTGTGCCCAGCCTCTCTCCTTTCACTCAGTTTCTTCCAAAACAGTTGCTAAGACTTACCTTTGGTGGTCACATAGAATTAGACCTTCATCTTTCCACCTCATCTTCTCTCATCCAAATTGGTGGAGAGGACGGCAGGAAGTTGAAAAAGCTGTGAATGCTTTTAATTTGTCAGTTCAGCAGAGATGACTGGACAGCTACTGACCTCAAATGAGCTAGTGACCTGGCTGTCCCATCACTGCCACTGCCCCCTTTAACTTCCTTTTGCTGTGAGACATGCCTTGAGAAAATGTCAGAGCTGGATGGTGATTCCTTGCATTCCTCTCAGCCTTAAGGTGCCAGGAGACTAAAGATGAGCACTAGCACAAAGCAGGCCCTTTCCCATAATGTCAGGAGACACTTAGGAATAGCCAAACCAATTGATAAGTAAAACAGATACACATTAAAGCAATGCGGTCAGTTTTCCTAACTTCCAGTTTCCTAACTTACAAATAAAGCAGTGGCACTACCTTGCTCTGGGCTGGGAGAAGAGCCAAGAGCCTCCACATTGTCCAATCTATAGAATGATGGGTGCGTGCACCAAAATCCCTAAAAGTGAGCCATCTTTGCCCTGGAAATCTGCTATATGAGTTCCTAGGCAACAATCAGGGATGCATTCCAAATTTTAATTAGAGGAAATTTATTTTTTATTATTTCCACTATCTGTGTACTACCACAACCCAAAGGCTGACCTTCTTTTCCTATGGCTTGATGTGGCTCATCCTGGTAGGTAGGGAACACTCAAAAAATGCAGGACTACCATGGTCCTTATGCGCATGGGCCATGGGAGTTCTCTCTATGAACCCCATCCCCACAGGTAGGTGATGGGAGGTAGATGACAGGTAGGTCATTCTGTATATATGTTTCTCATACTGGTTAATGAATAAAGCACTGTTGGCCAATAGGAAAGGAAGATAGGAGGGACTAGGAGACAAGGAGGAAATAGGAAGTAGTAAGGAGGAGTCAAGATGGAGAGACTGGGGAGACAAGATGCTGGCCCCTTTCCCCGGTAAGAAGACCACGTGGAAATACATAGAAATGGGTTAATAATTAAGATAGAGCTAGCCGATAAGAAACTAGTAACTGGCCAACAGCATTATATCAAATACAGAGTCTCAGTGTGTTAATTGGGGCTAGAGCAACGGCGGGACAAGACCAGGCGGTGGGTGGAAAAACCCATACTCTTACAGGTAGGGCAATTGTTTCTCTGGCATCTTACTGGGTGAACAGGCTTCTATGGTCATGTATGGTCTCAGGACCAAGGGACTATCCGGTTACTTAATTGCAAAAATCTTTTGCAGTAAACTTCCTCCTCCTTCATCTTCTAGCCAAGGAGAGGAGGTCATTATTTATTTCCTTCTTCCTGGAAGATGCTGTCTGCCTGCTTACTTATTGCCTCCACCCCATTTCTAGCCTTTGGTCACCAAAGAACTTGCTTCCTCTTTTACATTTTCCTTCTCTTCCTGGAGTCCTTTAGCAATGATGTTCAAGAAGTGTTAGTGAGATCAAATCCCAATGCCCATCTACTCAAGCGTGCACTAATATACTATTGCAGTCTTTGTTCAATTAGTTTTAAGTATGTCTGTCTCTTATTTCTAATATCCCTAAAGCTAAAATTTGTGTTTGAAAGGTTATATAATATAGGAGAAGGAACAGGATGTGTAATCAGACAGACCAGGATTTCAATCATGTGTGGTTAAGTTCCTTAACCACTCTGATCTTGAACTATCCTTTTCATAAAATGGAAGTAATTTTTCTCACAGGATGGCTCTGTGAAAGATAGGATCAACCACTTGTCACTTTGCATGTGTCTGAGCACGCCCTCTATAAATGTTCTCCTTTCTTAAACTCTGCTGCCAAAGACCTGGGCTTAGCCCATGTTAGGTAGCATTAGATAGAATCCTAACAAGCTCCCACAAGGACTTGGGAACAGTGACTGATCTGAAGATGCAAAGAAGAAAACTGCCCTGGCAGGGTTCAGCCCGCTGGCCTCTCACCTGATAATTGTCAGTGGGATGAAGTACACCAGAAAGGCCACAATGGTCATGTATGGGGTCCAGTAGGAGTCATCAGGCCACAGTGCCCAGCACTGCACCTCACCATTTGAGAGTGTCCTTTTCCCAAAAATGATCAGTGTGGGGATGGAGAACAGGAACGAGAGGCTCCAGGCTATGCCAATGAGGACTTTGGCTTGCTTCTCTGCTTAAAGAAAAGAGAAAGACATCTGGGCACCTAGGAACACACTTGGGGAGCACACAGGGCCCGCTATAGAGACTGATTCTGAGAACCACTGGGGCCTGTCAGTGGTCCTAGAAGGCTGTGACCCTTCTGCTGCAGAATATGGCTCCCACACAGGGATGCAGGCCCACCTGCATCTCATTATACACAGCTCCAAGAAAATTCTTCTTTCAATCTCATTTAACTGGCTGGTACAATTTCCTCTCCCCATGTTTAATCTTCCAATTCTTTAATTAGCAGTCAAAATGAACACTTCTGTGTGTCTCCTAATTATTTCTTTGTTTCTTGATCTATGTTCATGCCTTTTCTATTTTTTCAGTTGATGTTCTTAAGTCCTTGACAAAATTGTCATACAAAAGATATTAGCTCTTTGTCTTTTTTTTTTTTTTAGGTGCAAATTTCCACTTGTTCTTTTGACGGTGTTCATGATTTTTATTTGTATAAATTGCTTAAGACCTTGATGAAGTGACAAATGATTTCCTTTATTGCTTCTGCTTTCAGTTTAATTCCTAGAAAGACCGAAGGTTTGTTATTATGTTCTCCTAGTCCTTCACGTTTGAATGACTGGCTTTCCATCCCAACGTGTTCTGTTTTTAATTAGCTGTGACATGGGGAATTAATGTTTTCAACTGACTATAGAGCTCCCTCCCTCCTTCCCTTCTTCCCTCCCTCCCTCCCTCCCACCCACCCATCCTCCCTCTCTTTCTTTCTCTCTCTCACTTTCACTCTCTATTTTCTCTCTCTACATTCATTGGGATGAATTTAAATGCATTATTTATTTTATCCTGTTAAGCTTATGTCACGTTTAAAAGATATGTTATTTCTCCCTTTCTTTCCAGTGAAATTTCAGTTTCTATGAGTATATGAGAAAGATAGGAACCCATGAGACAAGTCCTGCCTGTGTGCAGAGCAGAGCAGAGCAAAGCAGAGCAGAGCAGAGCAGAGCAGAGCAGAGCAGAGCAGAGCAGAGCAGAGCAGAGCAGAGCTAGCTGGTCCTATACAGTGCTTATCGCCACCAACCACTGATGGTTCCTGGGACCTCACAGTCTCTTCATCAGCAGCATCTTCAAATTACTCCCCTCCCCTCTATCCTTCCCATCTGGCCAGAGACTGCAGAAGATAGGAGCTGGTTGTGGTTGAACTTTCACGATGCTGATGCCTCCATACCTCAGGAACTCCCAGCTTCCTGAGCTCTGCCTCCCCTCCTGCACTGTGCACTGGACACCAGCAAGCAATACTCCCAGCACCACCCAATACCGTGAGCTTCAGCTGGGGGGTGGGTGTTATGTGCCATCTGCTTCTTTCTTTCAGGGATCCTGGATGAAGGAGAAGTTCCTTTCTTTTCAATAAATTAAAACTACTTTTCCAGTTTTGTAGGTTTGAGGCAAGGAGGGCCAGGTGTTTGTTTCTTGGCAATGAATAATGTGAAGAGACAACATTAGGGTGTGCTTATTGGCAGGGCTGTAAGGACTAGGTAGAAGCACTTCCCAGTAGTGAACAGCCACAGCACAGCGCCACCAAGGGTTCTCTTATGAGGCCAAAATCAGGTAGCATTCCCCAATAATTTTGGACAATCAGACCCATTAGGCAGTGAAGGAAGAGAAAAACAACAAAGAAGGGAAAGAGAAGAAGGGCGTGGTTGGAACAGAGAACCATATTGATAAGAAATCAATAAAAATAATCGCATCCCCCAGAAAGGACCTTTATGAAAGAATGCTTGCTTACCTCCTTGAAGAAACTTCATGGGATAGACGATGGCATGGTATCTGTCTATGCTGAGGGACACTAGGACGTAGGTAGAGGCATACAGCATGACAACCTATGGACAGGAACCAGAGGACACGTGTGACTTCACATGGGAGAGGACATGCATACGCATAGTGTTCTTGCTATTTAGAAACCAGGGAACTGAACCAAGATTCCAGTGAGGTTTGAGGGAGAGAGGCACTGTCTGGCCCTGCCTGCTAGAAGCAGATCCGAGCTTTGTGGCTGGATTTTGAATTGCTACTAGTGATGGGGTGAAAATGGTCATAGCTCCCTGCATGCATTCACTGGCTTCTTGGAAATCTCATATTCCCAGGATCAGTCTCTCTTGACATTTGCATGGTACATTTATCTGTAATTGAATTTTAAAGCTAACCTAATTTTCTCTGCCACAATTGACATTCCAGAACCATTAGAAAGAAAAGTTCATTTGCTTTTTATCAGTGAGAGTAGTTGAGAGGTGGAGTCCACATGCTGGCCTTTTGTCCTAACATCACCCTCAGAGAGCTCAGTCCTTCTTCCAGGGCTCTAGCAGAGCAAATGAAATCATCTCACACACATTGTATCTCAAACAACAGAGTTGGCTAGCTCCTGTGCTGCAACAGTCATGGTGCTGTACATGAAAATGATGGTTACAAGGGTGTCCCATCATGCAATATAAAAATTACACACTGGGTCATAAGAAGTCAGGGTCCATCTGTGACATTCTTTATTTTGATCTCTATAGCATAACCACAACTGCATCCCAGTATTAATGTTTCAGGGAGAGGGTTGTAAACAATGATCAGAGATGGATGACCCCTCCCCTGAGGGACATAAATGAAATGCTCCTGTATAAAAAATAAGTAAGGGAGTAACTGAAAGAGTTTGATTAAGATTAAAGAAAAAAGTCAACCCAATGCCTCCTTGGAGAGAACGGGTGTTTCTGTGTAAACCATGGATTTTGAATGGCTCGGGCTGACCACACAGTGCTGAGAAGGTGACACCAAAAGATAGGCAGGGGACAGGGCAGCAGGGAAGATCATGGTGGAAAGTTTCTGAGCTGTCTCCAGTGAGGTGATGACACTCTAGTTCAGAATCTGGGGCAGGAGGAAAAGTCACCGGAAATAGATTTTCAGGGCTTCAGGCAATATTAATAAAGATGAGACGAACGCTGAGACACAGACAAAAAGAGGATTTAAGTTTGGAGATGAAACATCTTCAAACATCTATGGGGGGGGCAGCAAAGTAAAATAAGCATGTCTAAATACATTGCAAATTATCACGCTTCTCCATAAAAAAGTAAATGCCAAAGAATATGCTCAGGGTTTTGAAATAAAAGTTGTGATCCAAAAATTTTGTAAATTTCATTTCAGTGCCAATGTACAGAATAGCTTTTTTTGGATATGTAAAAGGAAGGAAATATAACATCCCACATCCTCCTCCAAAGTCCTCATGAGGAAACACTGAATAAGAATAGTTTCAAAATTAAGAAGAAAAGCAATAAAATAACAATGCCATGTAAAGAAGGCATCAAAACACAGATTGTTTACTAGAGAGTAATGCATTGATAGGGACATCCAGGGAAGAATCTTGGGAAATGTGTGGGGAGAGATTAGAAGAGAGGTATTATTATTAAGTCCCCACTTTGATATTTAGTTTTCTGCCTACCTTTGAGAGAGATATGTCTAAAGATGAAAGGCAAGTTATAATGAAGTGAACTTAAAATTGAGAAAAACAAATTCCTCTGTCTTCAGTGGCTACAGTGGCAAATAGCTACAGGCTTGGTGGCTTAAACATCAGTTTATTCCTTCACAGTTCTGGAGACCAGAAGTCTAAAATAATTCTACTAGCCCCATACCAAGGTATTTTTCAGGGCCTTGTCACTTCTGCAGACTTTATGCAAGACTCCTTCTCCATTGGCTGAGCTTCGGGTAACTGCCAGCACCCTACTTTTGTGTTCAATGCAACCCTTTTCCTGGTACTCTTCTGCTTGTGTGTCAGATCTTTATTTTACTCTTATGATTAAATTTTAGGATTTCCTAAACTAATTTAGGATAATCCCACATTTCAAACCCTTTTTTTCATCACATATGGTGGGTAACATGCATAGGTCAGGGTTAGGGTGCAGATATCCTGGGAGAATAGTTTTTTTCAGCTTCCCACAGTTTAAAACTACAGATGAAACAAATACTCATAGAGAAAATTTCAAAGAGAACAGTGACAATGAGGTACTGGAATAATAGTAGACACACTATTTTCCATTATAAATATAAATGGCTTGATCTCGTTCATCACAACAAAGCTATTTAAAACAAAAACCTTCCCCATGGTCTAACTGTGTTCTATACATAATAGACACACACATACTCAAAAACACAAATAACACTGAAACTTAAAATTAGAGGACTGGTCTGGGGCATATCATACAACTAATGCAATTTAAAAGGCCTCTATTAAAATACTGCATGATACCAATCAAATTCAAAGCTAACTGCATTCCATGTGACAAAGTGATAAAAGATATAAAGCCATACTGTCAGTAGAAAACTGATAAAATTAGATGTAATAAGTGGTGTAACACTAAATATATGTAAAAAAATATTCAAGGTTTACAGGCAAAACAGCCTATAAAATGTAAATAGGAAAATTGAGCTCTGTAGTACAGAATGCAAAAATCTCTAGACAACATACAAAAGTTTGGTCAGATACTAAATTACCAATAAAGGGAAATTCTCAGTAGAATCCAAAAAGTTGGCCATATTCAACTCACATATCTCAAGCAAGTGATGAAGCTGAAATAAGTAACATTTAAAAACTTCCACTCAGAAACTTAAACATCTTCATAATTAACTCAAGCAAAGAAGGAAATCACAGTACAATTATAGTCAATTCATAAATGTCAACAATGGGAACGCTACACACCAACAGCATATGGGGTGCCATTCAGAGAGCAGATGGCAGTCTGAGGACAAGTCTGCCTTTCCACAACCCCACTCCCATCTCTGACAGACATGACCCAGGGAATGTGAAATGCAAGAAAATTCTGCAAAGGGGAGTGAGACTTAATTGCTGGAGGCAGAGTGATTTTATTCAGAAAAATGCCAGATTGTGTTAATGTAAACTACTATTCTTGGGATGGCTTTACAATCGTGCATTTTATGTTTTAGAGAATGTTTGGGCTATGAAATTCTGACACATAACTCCTGAAATTAATATCTGGCATTGGTGGGGTATTAAACTGATTGATCACTCTTGATATGTTACCAATAACTAAGGTCCAGTCTTTGTCACTACATTCTGTGGGCTGATAGTGACATGATGGCACATATCCAGATGAGCATCACTGATCTAGCAATGCCCTATGTGTGTCTAGTCATTTTCTTAAAAAAAAAATCTGGAACCACTGATTTATTCTTTGACATACAGCTTTGTCCTTTTGAGTCTGTGACATGGCTTAAGTCACATGGTATTTAGCTGACCAGATTGGCTCCTTTTGTGTAAATATGTGATTTACTATTCTTTCCCATGCTTTAGCAGGTTATTTTTCTGTACTTTAGAAAAAATATTCATCGTAGTTTTTAAGGATATGACATGCTTTGTTCATCCATTGAATTGTTGATGGACATCTTGGGTAGTACCAGGTTTTGGTGATTATTATTAGAGATGCTAAAACTATATTTATGCAGGTTTTTGTGTGCACACAAGTTGTCCACACACATGCGCAAATATCTATGATCATAATTGTCCAACTGTGTAGTGAGATTATGCTTAATTTTATAAGAATCTTTCAAATTGGTTTTCATTTTTATTTCTAGCAACAGTGAGTGCAAGTTCTTGATAATATATATCCTTATCAATGTTTGGTATTGTTAATTTCTCTTAAAGCTGGCCATTGCATAATACAGGAGTACCTTGTTGTTCTGATTTGCAGTTCCCTAATGAGATGCATGTTTGCCATCTTTAATGATGTTCCTATTTTTCTCTATTTTAAGAGAGTTGTTTTTATATTGTTGTCTTTTAACTTTTCCAGTTATCCCATAATAGTTTTATAGTATTACATGTATGTTTGTGACCTTGACTACTGAGCCATCAATCTAGCCTCTCCCTCTGGCATTCTTACCTGTATGGAGCATCTACTTGCCACATAGGAAGTGATTTCATCTATCCTCTTCCTGGAAACTTAATTGCTCTGCATAAGGACATTTTGGTCACCTGCTCATCCCCCAAGGACAGAGGTTACCTCCTCTATCTTCTGGCTGGTACTCAAAATACGGCATGCCAGGACTGTCATGGAACATCTGCCGGCTTCTTTAATCAGAAGCTATACCTCCAGTGCCTGAACCTCCCAGGCCCTCTGGTTTAGCAGTGCCTGGGGTAGTTGCCTCTCAGATCAGAGTACATTCCCTATCAATCCTACAGTTCACTTTCCTCTGTACTAATCAACACAGCACCTGCTGGGCAGGTAAGAGACTGTGGCTTTCCCTAACTGAACTGGAACTGCCTCAGCTACCCGACTCACAAATCAACACCAACTGACCACAGGACTGTATATCCTATCTATTCCAAGCCCAGCAAAACCAGAATAACAACAACAACAAAAATACAGATCCAAATACTAATTCAACACAGATGATCCCGAAACTCTTATCAAGGTACAACACAGTTTGATTGAAGAGCATGAAAGTCTATCTCAAACTAGCCAGGAAAGTTCTTTCATGTCATGATGTTGGAAGGCACTATGGGGATTGTTGGGAAGAAAACACATCAGTGGTTGTATTCAGCACTGGACCCTGCATGCTGCAATACTGACTTGCTAGGTAATATGTGCCTACCAGTACAATAGTGGCTCAAAAGTTATGGGGATTATTAACCACTTTCTTACTGGATTTGATGTTTGATGTCTGCTCAACAGAAGGAGATTCATGTCTCAAACTGTAATCCTGGTCAAAAGGCCATGCCTGTGGACCACATAAACTCCAGGCTAGAATCTGCTATTGTTATTTTTTGTTAAAGGCTATAGTATTAAATCCCCTGACAAATATTTGTGCTTATATATGCAAATGTAGGCTGCTC